TCAGAGGGGTACTCTGGGAGCCTCCAACGTGCATGTCTAAAAGGGTTCTGCCATCCACCACATAAAGACAAAGCATACCCTTTATGTGTAAGAACTTTAATAGATTAGTGTACATAGAGAGGGAAAAAGAAAAAGGATATAGTTTCCCAATTAAACACTCAAAGTTACCCATTCCCTTGTGGGTAAATGTCCAGCCAAACAGGTCCAAAGTGGGACCACTGAGGCCTGAAAACTTTCCATAAGTCCAAAGCATCTTCTGGTGGGGACCCACAGAAAAGGGCCAGAAGGGGCTAGACATGTCTGGGACAAAAGGAACAAAATCAAAATACAAATCACGATGAAGGCTGCCATTTTCAGCCTCCCCACATGTCTCTCTCCCATGTATCTCCCAAGTGTCCCTACAGTCTCAGTTTCATCTGTGTTCTTCCAGGTTGCCCAAGTCCCTGGTGAAGTCCAAAGCTGAGAAACAGAAAGGCCCCTTTTCTTTTCTTTTATATATTTTTTACATCATTTCTCATTTTTGCACATTTTCATCTTGGTTATATTCCCCATACAATTCCTACTCCCCTTATTTTGACCCTAATCCCTCCTCTCCTCCCTACTCCCTACCCCCATAGTGTATCTCTGGTTTATAGTTGCTTGTTGATTTTGATTTTCACTTTATTATAATTAGTCTTTTTCCTGGTCCCTTATTTATTTTCTGAATTCTTGCTATGAGTGAGACCATCTGGTATTTTTCTTTTTCTTTCTGGCTTATTTCGCTGAGCATGATCCCTTCCAGTTCCATCCATGTTGCTGCAAATTGCATGAGTTTATCGTTTTTGATTGCTGAGTAATATTCCATGGTGTATATGTACCACACCTTCTTGATCCAGTCATCTATTTTTGGGCATTTGGGCTGTTTCCAAAGCTTAGCTATTGTAAATAGTGCTGCTGTAAACATAGGGATTCAGGTGCCCTTTTGAATTAATGTTTCTGTGTCCTTTGGGTAAATGCCTAGGAGTGGAATTGCTGGATCATATGGAAGCTCCATCTTTAGCAGGTTGAGGAATCTCCACACAGCTCTCCATAGTGGTTGGACCAGTTTTCACTTTCAGAGAGGCCCCTTTTCATGTCTTTAGACTCTACATGTCTCTCCCAAGTTTTCTCCCCAAAATCATCTTCTAGCTTCCCCTCACCATTCAGCTCCAGCCTTCATTAGATGGGGTAAGGAATATGAAAACTCCCTTTGTTACAGAGATTCCTATCTGTACCAATCCCTCTCTGTAAAAGATCCATTTATTTATTAATATTCTTTGGATCACATTGTACTGTTATTTGATTCTTATTTACTGTTTAGTTCATAAGATTTTTGTGAAGTTCTATCATCTGGCATGAAGCATTAGAGAATCCAGTGTGCCAATAGGAGCTTAGCTGAAACTAAAATGACTTGTATAATTGTAAATGCATCTTTTCTTTGGACTATAACCCTAGTAGCCTCAATGGAAAATAAAACTACTTTAGTTTCATAATAGTGTTAGATAAATGCCTGTAGTGATGGGATTATATATAAAGAACAGCAAACTCTGATAGGGAAAATGAGAGCATAATACAGTCAAATTCCATCCTTTCCCCAGTTCCTCTGAGTTCTGGCACTTGGAGCCAGAGAAGAAAGCAATGGGCTTTTATCATTAGGGAATGTTCCACAGAGGAAATGGATGAGGTGTAAACTGAAATCTTAAGGAATGGGAAGGTTCTGGTACAAGAAGGATATAACAATCACAGCATAGCCACAATATCCAGAAATTGACCTGCTGAGTGAAAGGGATAAAAAGAAAGTAGAACTTCAGGATGGTTTGTGCTCTGAAATCCTGAGAGAGATCAAAATGAGCCAAAACATAAATAGCATGTAAAGCACAATGGAGGAAATTGAATTTAATTTGATTTGGCCAAAGGGAGTCATTATAGGTTTAGAATATGAAGTGACATGTGAGAGCAGTGTCAGAAGGTGTTGGTAGTAACAGTTGTACTGTTCACCATGTGCCTGGATTTAAACTTTTTTAAAATAGCCTTATTTATTTTTTCACAATATAGGGTTTCTCCCCTCAGGTCAAATGCTAGGATTTTTATAGACAGTGCATGCATTTACTCTTCTTCATAAAGGTATGAGATTTGTATTAGCTAAGACTTGCTGATAAGGAGCCTGAGAGTTTGGGAAGATTAGAGAGCCTCAATAAAATGTGGTGAAGCCTTTTCACACATAAACATTGATGCTAAAGACCACATCCTCCTGTGCTACCTCAGGAGAATGATCTGGTATCATTTGTAAGATTTAGACTTGGGAGAAACAAAGACTCCAGTTAGGAGATGGGGAACCTGGGTTTGGGTAGTGTAGTTCAGATTTCTATACATTGAGGGGATAAGGACCCTATTTGAGAAAGGGGTTAATTTGCAATTTGAACATAATATGAAACAAATTACGAGGTCACACCTACCCTTCATATGTGTATATCATGAGGCCTTCAAATATAGCTGTAATAGTCTGTAAATAGAATATTTAGAAAAAAATTTTAAGAGAAATAGATTTCATGTGCATTGGGAAAAGTTTAGGGCTCTAATATACACACATAAATATATATGCTGATAGCTAAAGAACTCAACTAATCTCTGGATGCTTCATCTTTTAAGTGGATAGTTAATGGATTTGTAAGAGCTAAGTGATTTTTATAAATTGTGTGTTTCTTATCTTCAGGTGAGTCTTTCTGGTGGGACTTGTCTCTTAAGATAGCTTGGCTTCTTGATATCTATCCTTTTGTATTATGTGCAACACAAATTGCAAGCAATAATGAAAATACATTATGATATAGTGCCATCACATTTATTTAAAGGCAAAGCAGAAATTGGGGGCTGCAGCAAAGCATTTATGGCAGGACTCAAGTCTGTGTGGTTATTCTTTTAAAAGATTTATTTTTATTTATTTGCATATAAGAACTGGACTATATGCAGTAGGTACAAGGGAATGAGAGGATTCACCAGAGACAGAGTGGGGAGCAGAACAGGCAGATTGACTGAAATACACTGCTGAGGGGAGCAGCAGGCGAGTCAGGAGAGGTCTGCTATGCCGTGGGGATAGCTCCCTGGTTGGGGATCAAGCTCAGGTCTCAGCAGTGATAGCGCTAAGACTTAACCCCGAGGCCATAGGAGGTCCTCTGTGGTTTTTTTGAAGTCCTTCTGTGTCTGACTAAGCTTCTTGTATGTTCTCTCCTTGTAGATCTGCACCAGAATGTTTGATGTTTATGTCACTCCTATTCATGCTTTTGTTTTAAGCATTTCTCCTCACTGACATTATAAGAACATACACTTTCATTTGTTCATTCAGTAAATATTTATTAAATAATTATGTTGTGCTGGGTACTGTTTGCTGAACAATTTGCCAGAGGGATTTTCTTTTTAATCTTAGATGAACATTGATTTACCAAATGTAATAGCAGGTCAGCTTTAGCTTTGGAGTACAAGAACATATTTTTTTTTGTTTTAATTAGGGGAAAGAAGAAATTGTACTTTTCATATTTAGTGTCTTTTCCTTCTAAGTCACTTCTAAGCAAACATTGAAAAATTACACATTACCTTTAACCAAATTTCAATCTCAGAATATGTATCTAAGTCAAGTTTCTGAACACTCTAATGTTTGCCTTCCATTATGCTTAATGAATTGTTTCAAATTGGTCTTTAATCTGAGACTCCATCCCTTCTCCAGAGAGTTCAAGGAAGGATAGTCATTGTGGTTTATGCAGAAAACCTCAGAACTAAATTCTGGCATAAACTGGCTTTAAAGCTCTTGACCTATGTCAGGTCATGCCTTGATTCTCAAATGTGAGAATTGGTCTAAACAATTAGAGATTGTTTAGAGATCTAAACAATCTGCTCTGAGATCTTTAATGACTCTACACTCTACCTATAAACAAGGTCTGAGATCTTTCATGAATCTACACTCTAACTATAAAAACAAAACTACCAACCTAACCACCTATTATTTGTTAGGCTCTGTACTTGCTCCTTTCTGTTTATTTAAATTGTAATCCTCATGAACTATGAAAGCTAGATAACATTGTCTCATTTTACAATGAAACAGGAAACTGAAGCTTCTCCATGCTTACAAAACTTGGCAGTTCCTGTCTTGGAATTCAAACTGAGGTCTGTCTGATTTTAAAATGTCTTTTGTTGGACCACAGGTTGAAGTGCTAAAAATTCCTATAGATTTCAAAAATAAAGCAGTATTTAAAACTAATATTTGCATGTTAACTCTAGGAGAAATTTTGAGAACAGCACTTATAGAAGTTTGACTTTAATTAAAAGGAAATATTCATCAAAAAAAGGTAAAACTAAACAAACCCTAGAAATAGGATTACAGAATTGAGGCTACCAGAGGAAGAGGTGGGGTGAGAAGCAAAGGGGAGAGGGTCCCAGTGGGCTATGGGGAGATCATGGGTGCTTTGGTGTGGTAGCCTTTTTGGTGTGGTAACACCTCTGAAGAGGTATAACCCTACTCCTAAATCACATACAGTGTTGGAAACCAGTGTTACCTCCAAAAGAAACTAATACAATCTTTAAAAGGGGCTCACTTTTGAGCATTAGTTTACAGGTCCAGGTTGGTAATCTTAAATTTATGGGACTCTTTTCAAAACCCTGTGCTTTTGAACACGAGGCAATTGAAGAGCAGTATCCCTTCTCTCCTTGTGGTATCTATTTTAGTTTCATAATAGTGACTTTCCTGGCTTCCTCTCAATAGACATCTGCCTTACAAAGTGGAGAGTACCAACATTTCTTTAAAGTGCTTGCCTTCTAGACATTTTCAAAAGGTAGAATGATACAACTCTTTGTGATTTTGAAAATTACTCACAGGCCTAGATTACTGGAGAGGGGACATTTCTCAGAAGAAAATGTGAATGCTGTAGAGGAAGAGAGAACACTGGAGAGATAGACTTGGGACTGTCAGCCTTCTTGGAGTGAATGCCATTGACACAGACAAAACCAGTGGGGAAGTAAGTGACCGTGACCAAATGCATTCTAGAAAGGAAGGGATGTGACCTGACCTTTTGGAGAATCATGAAAACAAGAATCAAGCAGGTTTTCCTTTCATGCCATATTTTTGGGGATTGTTTAATTGTTTTATACTTACTTAGATCAAAGGATGCTTTCGCACAGTATAAAATACTAAATGGGTTTGAATTCTTTATTTCAAAAGCAATACATTTATGCCCCACTCCCATTTCTTTCTGCCACAGAAAACCCCATTCAGACTGTTCCACTGTAAAAAAACAAATTGTTTTTCCTTTCATGAAGGCTGCTACTTTTCAGCAGCCTGTCTGTCTTGCTCTGCCCTGCCCAGACCCTGGGATATCTGCATTTCAATCATTGAGAAGATGTTTTAATTGTTTAGCAATTTGATGCCACACTTGGAATCCTAGTTTTCATTTCTTTTGATATGTTGTTTTCTTGCCGGTGTTTATAGATTGAAATTTTTATTGTGATAAGGATATCTAAAATTTACCATTTTAGATATTTTAAACTATACAACTTAGTGGCACTTAGTACATCCACAATATTGTGTAATAATTACCATTATTAGTGCTAGAATGTGTTCTGTATTTGGTAGGTCTAGTTGGCTTCTAGCGTCATTCAAATTCTCTATTTTCTTATGATCTCCTTCTAGTCATTCTACTCATTATGGAAAGTGGAATGTTGAAATCTCCAACTGTTTTTGTACAACTGTTTCTGCCCTCATTTCTGTCAGTTTTTGCTTCGTATATTTTGGAATTCTGTTAAGTGCATGTATGTTTACAATCATCAAGTCTTGATGAATTCACCATTTTGTCGATGTATAATGTCCTCCTTTATATCTTGGAGCAATTTTTAACTTAGGGTATATCATCTGTTATCAGAATAGCCTCCCCAACTCTCCTTGGGATAGTTGTTTGCATGTTATATCTTTTTCCATCCTTCAACTTTCCAACTCTTTGTGTCTTTGGATCTAATGTGAGTCTCTTGTAGACAGTATATAATTGGACCATGTTTTAAAAAATTCATTCTTCCAGTGTCAGCCTTTTAATCAAAGAGTATAATCCATTTATGGTTTAAGTAAATACTAATAAGGACTGATTTTGCTATCTGTTTTCTCTCTTCTTAAAACATTTTTAGTATGTCACCAACTCTCACATGCTTCATACCTCTCCATTTCAATTAAAGGAAAAGATGCTTTTATAATGGTGTATGTGAGAAGTGTTGGGGAAGTGGCAGGGCACATGCATTCAGGGAGGTAGCTGAGTTAAAAAAAAAAAGGAAGAATTAAATAACTCAGTCAGGGGGTGGCTATCAAAAATAATGTACATGAACAGTGAGTCAAAATGTAGAAATCATGTGGGCTAAAAGCTAGGAGTTCAAAGTAAATCTATGGAATTTTTGTCATACTCCAATTAGTATTGTGATGACTGTCTTTTGAAACACATATACAGAAAAGGATAACAAATTGAAGGAATTAGAGAAAAAAGTCAAAACTGGATTATGTTGCATGAGGTATCCAAGTCAGTAGCAGAATGTTCTCCAAGCCAAGTGAGACAGAATGATCCTAAAAATAATCCCCGCAACCCAATTTTACCAGCCCTATGTAATTCTTATGCCATCTTCTCCCCAGGAACAGTCAGGACAGGTGACAGTAACCTAAAAGTCTGAACTAATTCTGTGAAAGCTATCTATACGCAAAAAGAAATTTTATAAAACATTTTTTTTCCAGCCTAACTTGGGTACCAACCACAGCATTTGGTTCAACTCTGCAGGTAATGCCAGCTGTTTTTCAAAGGTCCACATACCCTTTTGAAGGACTTGCATTTCTGGATCAGAATGAAAAGATACTATGTCCTTTCTCCCTCATGTCTTCTTCCCTCTCTCCGCCATAGGAACCCACAGACACTATTTTCATGAACTGTCTGCAACCCGGGTCACGTGATTTAACCTTTTTAAAGGTCAGTTTCCTCCCTTTTAAAAATGAAAGGGTTGAACTAAAATCCTGTATTTCTGAAGCCCTTTGTACGCTTCAAGTCCCATGATTCCTTCTGACACAGTTTAGGGATTTTCTCTTATTCTGTTCTCTTGTATTTATAGTTAGCACTTGAACCTCTACCTCATTAACTGTACTGATACCACTTTCCATTTTTACTCTAAATGATCTCTTGCATGACAACCCACTTCCTAAATGGTTTTACCTTTTTTCCAGTTAATACGACCTTGCCTGAAAGGAACCATTTATTTCCTCCCATTAGCTACTGTCCAAGGAATGGAGAGGGAAAAAAGAGGTGTTTCTCGGGTCTCTAGATTTTGACTCTGACTCTACAGACTGTTTTCACAGCCATTGGCGTAGTAACAGTATGACAATACTCCAACCAATGTCATTGGCCAGTACCTTTGAGATCAAATGAATTAGGATCATGGTATCTGACATAGTTTTTAATCATCCCTAAAGGTATTAAAATTATTTGTTCTAAACACAGAAATTTTCAGGTTGTCTTTTTCAGAATCGAAGAGGACATGGTCCATAGCTGATAAATGTCAAAATAAACAGTTTCATCTTTTCTAAGAATTAGCTTAAATGCTTTTCTTCTTTATAAGCGATTGAAAAACAGCAGTGATTAGCATGAGAAAAGTGCTGCCTATTTAAGAGGTAATTATATGGATATGAAATTGACAACAAAATTAGTGTTCTTAGTTGTTTTTAAAAATCATATTAGCCCTTCCACAGCAGACTGGAAAACCTCTTTTCCATTTCTTATAGCTAATTAAAATATTAATACATTTGAAATACAAAAAATTTGATCTTATGCAAAGATTATTTGAAAAAAATAAATTTGTTTTGCAGTGAAAATTACCTCTAAGAAAATTAAATAGAAATATATATTTAGTTCTTGTGTTCTGCCCAAGGTAATATTTAAATCTGGTGGCACAGAGTTTATTTTTTAGAAAGTTATAAATCTTTAATAGGTAGGATTAGCTAAAGGAAAACAATATAAAACTATGGAGCAGAGCACAGGGGAAAATCCTCCACCCCATTTATCCTAAAACTGGATTGATGAGCAAATTAGCATCAAACAAATTAGTAAAGCTAAAACCTAAATGTAGTAACATGTGAATGGTGAATTTACATGGTTGTAAAATCTAAAGAATAATGGAATGGACCAGTACTTTGGATCAGTACTTACTCTATCTAGGGAGTTAAGGTGTCAAGGAGAGAAAGGGAGAGAGTTCATGTGACCTCTTCTGTATTCTGAGAGATTCCTAGATGGACAGGACATTTTCACTGATAAACCTACATCTGGCTGATACCTCTGAACCACATTCTCCTAGGTCATGAAAAGGAGAGCAGTGACTGACTGCTTCTTTGGTTAGGAAAAAAGACAAAGGACAAAAATCTCCTAAGGACTTTACTGCTCTTAACTTAAAAATAATCTGCACTCTTTGGGAAGATAATAGCCTTTCCATGCCCAGAGTCTTACTTGACCTCTAGTGTACACTAAGCTGACTCTCATGGGAAGAGGCCTAATCTGGGCATTTTTGAGAAAAGTCTACCCCTACAGATATATTCTTCTTAGCCAAAACCTGGTGTTCTTATAAGCTTTCATTTAAGGGTCCAGTATTTACCATTTCAATCTAATTCAGCAAAGCATACTTGCAATTCTTATAATTCGTATGTTCCAGAAACCTAAGGTCCTCTGATCATGTGGCAGGGGTAATGCTAAGCATTGGAAACTTTATGGCAAATACGTGGTGTTTGCCCCCAAACATTCAAATGGGGACAAAGAATAAATACAAGGGAATATTATGAGTATTACAATAGAGGGACACCATAGCTCAGGCTCCTGTTAAAAAGTACTAAAAACTGGGACAGCATGGGGAGAGCTTATTAATAAATTTTATCTCACAGTCCTGGAAGCTGGGAAGTTGAAGATCAGGGCAGGCAACTGCACAGAGTGTGAAGACCCATTTCCTAGGTGCTAGGGGGTCATCTTTCAAAGTGTTGTCACCTGGTAGGAGGGCCAAGGGAGCTTGCTAGGGTCTCTAGTATGATTCACTCGGTCTGCATGACTTAATCATCTCACAAATATCATCCCTCCAAATATTATACTGAGGGAACAGGTTTTAACATATGACTTTTGGGAAGGAGACAAAAAAAAATTCATAGCATACAGAGGGGTGGATGAGGTACAGTGGGAGTGACAATGCTTGTCAGGGATAGAAAAGTTTCCCAGAGGCTCTAAGTGAGGCTAAGAGTATGAGAGTGCCAACAGAAAACAGGGAAATGATAGCAAAGACATGTACACACAAGCATGGAAGTCACACTCTGGAGCTGGGGCGTAGAGTTCATAGGGAGAATGGTGGCAGTCGAGGCTACTCAGAGGAACCAGATCAAGAATGACCAAATCAAATTCATGTGTTTGTCAGGGTGTATAATGCTAGGTGCTATAATCACTCATAGCCCATTGGTGTAACACAACATAGGTTTATTTCTTGTGCACATAATAGTTCAATTGAGTATGCGATAAGTACCTGTCGTTGTGATTCTGAGAACCTGGCTTATTCCTTCTTACAGTGCCATCAGCTTCAAAAAGTATCTGGTTAATATGATGCTACTGAGAGGTCAATCCAAATAGACCTGAAAAGTGCACACTGAGTAGGGCAGCTAGAGGTCACTGGTGATGCTTGCAGGAGCAGCTGCATTGGAGAGTTGCATTGGAGCATAGGAGCAGAACCCATACTGCAGTTCGGGGAGAAAGAGGTGAGAGAGAGGAGCCAGTAAACACCAACCACTCCAAAAATCTTGGATGTGACGAGAACGAGAAAATAAGAATTGTAGATGAAGGGAGATATATTTGAAGGGTTGTTTGATTTTGTCTATTTTTACCATGTGAGAGAAAGAACGCATGATTACTTGCTGAGGAGAAAGATCTAGTGTAGAGAAAATGTTTGCAGATGATGACGAAAGTGATAATTGATT